CAAGGGAACTGTGAATGAATTATTACTTACTCAGCAAAAGGAGACACTGTGGTCCTTCTAGGCTTGTATGCAGAGACTGAGTATGCTAATCAGACATCACGTAGCATGCTAACGCAGCCGCTATTTTAAACAGTACTTTAAATGGAGAGTGAACCATCACATAGTACGTTAGCATGCTATACACTCGAAGAGTGCTGTGAATGGGGAAATCTAATGAAACGTCACATAGCATGATTCCTGCTCCCCAGCTATGTGTGTGTGTGTGTGTGTGTGGAGTTTGTGTTTTCTCCATGTGTTTATATAGGCTACTTTCTGCTGCTCAAAGACACAGAGTTTAGGTTTATTGGTTTCTCTAAAATATCCATGATATGTATTGCTTGTGATGGACTGGCATCACCCGTCCAGGGTGTCCCCTTGCCCTGTGATTGACTGTCACCCCATCCAGGGTGTCCCCTGCCTTGTACCCTGTGATTGACTGTCACCCCATCCAGGGTGTCCCCTGCCTTGTACCCTGTGATTGACTGTCACCCCATCCAGGGTGTCCCCTGCCTTGTACCCTGTGATGGGCTGGCATCCCGTCCAGGGTGTCCCCTACCTTGTACCCTGTGATGGGCTGGTATCCCGTCCAGGGTGTCCCCTGCCTTGTACCCTGTGATGGACTGGCATCCCGTCCTGGGTGTCCCCTGCCTTGTACCCTGTGATTGACTGGTATCCCGTCTAGGGTGTCCCCCTGCCTTGTACCCTGTGATTGACTGGTATCCCGTCCAGGTGTCCCCTGCCTTGTACCCTGTGATTGACTGGTATCCATTCCAGGGTGTCCCCTGCCTTGTAGCCTGTGATGGGCTGGTATCCCGTCCAGGGTTTCCCCTGCCTTTGCCCTGCGTTTCCTGGCATAGAATCCAGGCTCAATGCAGCAGTTGGAAGACGGGTGGTAGTATAAATGCATGGATATTTATAAAATACTGTAGATGAAGGTGTAGACCCATTTTTTTTACTAGTTGGTAGAAATGTAATTTCATTAATACAATCTCATTGAAGAATAAAAAAATTATGATTTCTGAATGGGACTGTGTGACTGTTGTGTTTCTACCAATGATTAAGTTCAGCGGTCTTATTTCTTACTGATTGACAGTTCTTGGTTATATAAATGTTTCCACCGTACATTGTTTAACTATAAGTCACCTAACATTGTGAAAGAACTAAGAGGATTGATATAGTCCTGATCACTGGTATCCAGCGAATCAGCTGTGTCCTGTTGAATTAATTAAGCCACACTGTAGCCAATAGCCACCCGGTAATTCCTTTTATGTTGAGCGAATGACAGTGTCCAGCATAAGGCCCAGCCTGTCCCAGGGTAGAGTGACTTTGATCTCTGAGCTACTGTAAAACTTTTATCTCTGTATGTCAGAGCAGATCTGATGCATCTTCCCATAGCAGCTGACAAGTCTGCATCTTATCTGGCCATAAACATTACTGGTTAACGCACGTAAGCAATGGAGGTCAAACATTGGTGGGAGCACAAAATGTCCTGACCTGGGAGGTGTTTGGGTGCTTCTGCTGAGGTTTACAAGAGTATGTCAGGACTCAATACGCTGTTTTGTTTGATATATAGTGAAATGAAAAATCTATACTGGCCAACAAAGGAAAGAGAGTAACTGCATATTTGGCAGATCGGGGACCTGTACTACGAAGCGGGGTTACTGGCTTATCGGGGTAACTTGTCGGATTTAAGGTAGTCTGGGAGAAATGTAAGTCAACGAATATGAAGTCCATTTAAACTGTAGTACCTTAAATCTGATGTTACCCCGATAAGCCCCGATGAGCTATAGTAACCCTGCTTCGTAGTACAGGCCACCGATCTCATAGGCTTGGTTTTATCTTTTGGCAAATATCAACTGAGTGTAAAAATTACAGTAACTAGAAAATCTAC